AACAAAGCAAATCAACAAAAAAATGTAGAAACGTTTCATCTCTCATCCGAGAGACGATGAGAGATGAAACGTTTCTACATTTTTTTGTTGATTTGCTTTGTTTTGTTTTTTTTGAATGTCCAGAGGACCAGATTGAACTTTTTTAGATTTTTCTACCTGGATTATTGAGCATGCATCAGGATATTTACTCATCATTAACTATAAAATATACATATACGTCACAATGTTTTCATTGTATTATTAAATTTTTATTTAATTTTCTTAGTGTGTTATTAAGGTAATGTGGTGGGGCGGCGGCGTAGCGCCCTCTACTGGCCAGTTAGCACTGGTGTGAAGAGTTAGTAAAGTTCAAGGCTGCTGAGAGAAGCTCTTTGTGAGTGTGTTGGTGACGGACACGAGGCTCCCGAGGACACTGGAAACCTTCTTGATGATGTTCCTCGCCTGCTCTCGGCTGTGCTGAGTGAAGTGCTGCGTTGGGCAGTTTCTCCACCTGCTGGAGCACCTTCTGCTCAGAGCAGCTGCTGCACCACACTCAGGTGACGTTTGTGAGAAGTGATCAAGTCCGGCCTCGGTGAGACGTTTTTAAGGCTCTTTAGGAAATGAAGACGCTGCTGCAGCTTTTTAACCTGAATTGAAATGTTACGTGAGGGATCCTCAGAGATGGGAGCAGCAGGAACTTGAAGCCAGACAGCCGTTCACGTAGGCGGGGGCCTGACTCCTGGCCCCCCTGAAGTCCACAAGGATCTCCTTGGGTTCATTAAGAACAAGACTGTTGTCCTTGCACCGTGAAGTCAGTTGTTTGTCAGTAATGTCGGAGAAAAAGACACAATTTACTTCATTTTGATTTGTATTAGCATCTTCTGCATTGTTCATAAAAGTCCAATTGGAAAGTAAAGACTGTGTTTGACAGAAATCTTGTGAGTATTAAACATGTTCAGAACAGATTTAAAGTTAAAAAAAGGAGCTATGAAGTTTTAATATGAGAAACATTTGTTTTAAGATAATCTGTGCGTCACAGTTTAAACTGAAATGTAAAAGTTTATTTAAACTTGTCAAACATGACTGTGCTCCATGGTGCGGCTGGGATTAAATATAATCCATCATTTCCTGTTTGATGTGGATTTTTCAGTCGTTTAGTTTGTTCTCCTCAGAGAAACATTTAATCGAAGACTTTTCAATCTTTACTGCGTGTATGAAAGTCAAAATACTCTCTAGTGTATCACATGTAGGGAGGAAAGAATCTTTTAATAAAGACTATAATAGTTCAAGTCTTTCAAAATGAGTTGAATTTATTTGTTGCTGGATTTATATCTGCTTGTTTGGATCTGATGTGCAGTGAAGAAGTTAAAAGCTCTGTCCTTTGATTTATTCACTTGTTTAATTGTTCTTTGATTCAGACGGACAGACTCCAGCCCAACAGAGACACGGTGTTCTTCAGGGACGGAGTGCGGAGGATAGACTTCGTCTTATCTTACGTCGACGATAAAGATGAAAGGAAACAGGTTAGTTGCATTTTCTACAAAAACACTGTGGGAATCCTTGTTGCTGAATGAGTCTTACTGAAAGCTGCTGAAAGACAGCAGGACATATATGAGGACAACAGGGCATGTATGAGGACAACAGGGCATGTATGAGGACAACAGGGCATGTATGAGGACAGTAGGACAGTGGTGAGATGTGCTGTAGGAAATTGGAGGTGGGAGTGCATCAAGGATCAGCTCTGAGCCCCTTCTTGTTTGCTCTGGTGATAGACCAACTAACAGAGGAGGTCAGACAGGAATCCCCGTGGACTATGATGTTTACAGATGACATTGTGATCTGTGGTGAGAACAGGGAACAGGTGGAAGAGAACTTGGAGAGGTGGAGGTATGCACTTGAAAGAAGAGGAATGAAAGTCAGTCGTAGTAAGACAGAGTCCATGTGTGTGAATGAGAGGGAGGAGGTGGAACAGTGAGGCTACAAGGAGCAGAGGTCACAAAGGTGCAGGACTTCAAGGACTTGGGGTCCACTGTCCAGGAACATGGGGAGTGTGGTAAAGAGGAGAAGAAGAGAGTCCAGACAGGATGGAGTGATGGAGAAAAGTTTCAGGAGTGATTTGTGACAAAAGGGTGTCAGCAAAGGTCAAAGGAAAAGTTTACAAGACAGTGGTGAGACCAGCTCTGTTGTATGGTCTGGAGACAGAGACATGGACAAAAAGACAGGAGACAGAACTGAAAGTGGCAGAAATGAAGATGTTGAAGTTCTTCTTAGGAGAGACAAGGATGGAGAAGATCAGGAATGAGATCATCAGAGGTACAGCACAGGTTGAACAACTGGGAGATAAAGTTAGAGAGGACACACTGAGATGGTCTGGACATGTCCAGAGGAGGGACAGTGGGTTGGACATGTCCAGAGGAGGGACAGTGGGTATATTGTAAGAAGGTTGTTAGAAATGCAGCTGCAGGAAAAAGACAGAGGAGATATATGGATGCAGTTAAAGAGGACATGGAGGTAGATTAATTCAATCCAGTTTATTTATAAAGCGCCAAATCTCAACCAAGTTGTCTCAGGGACTTTACAGGAACATTCACATAAAATTAGTAAAGTTCTCTATCTAAGGAATCCAGCAGACAAGATGAATCTTGGCTTCGTTGCAGTCTCCCATCCTGAGCAAGCACAGTGGAGACAGTGGAAAGAAAAACTCCCTTTAACAGGAAGAAACCTCCAGCAGAACCAGGATCAGGACAAGAGACCATCTGCTTTGACCGGCTGGTTGAGAGGACAGGAAGGAGAGACAGACCAACACAGAATGGTAGGTCCAGGTATAGGTCCAGGTCCAGATATAGGTCCAGGTCCAGATATAGGTCCAGGTCCAGATATAGGTCCAGGTGTACATGAAAGACAAAACACATGTTAAGGATAGAAAAAATAATTACAAATACAAACAGGTTGAGCAGAGTAAGTAAAGACAGCAGCAGAGAGAAAAGTGTGGTCAGTTTGTCCTCCAGCAGTCTAAGCCTATAGCAGCAGAACTAAGGGACAGCTCAGGAAACCCAAGCCGACCCTAACTATAGGATTTATCAAAAAGGAAAGTCTTCAGCCTAGTTTTAAAACTGGACAATGTGTCAGCCTCATGGACAGAGATTGGAAGTTGGTTCCACAAGTTGGAGTGAGGACAGAGTGAGATGAAGTAGGATGAATCACTGTGGAGACTCCTGAAATGGGAAAAGAAGAAGAAGCTGACTTCCTTGACTAAACATTTTACTACTTGGTATTTCATAATGTCCTGTGTGTAAATGTGTTGTATTAAAATTTGATTAAATTGACCGTAATCAGATTTAATCCAAACCTGTTTTTGATTGATGAAGACGTTTTGTACAGTTCCATGAAATAACTTTTCTTGTGAATTAGTCCTATATCAATTATCAATAAACTGAAATTAATTTTGAAACATTCAGACATAAAAAGCCCCCAAACTGAATCTGTCTCTTTAAGAAATCACAAAGAACCTTCTTTGAAACTTGTTGTTTTTTTAGGTGTGATTACAAAAGGTTTCCAGAAATACGTGTGTGACAGCAAATATTAATTATTTTACAGCAACAAGAGCAAAAATTAAAAAATATGATATTACTGTAGGAGCAGCACGGTGGCGCAACGTAGCGCTGCTGCCTCTCTGCAAGAAGGTTGCCAGTTCAAATCCCGGTCCATGGTCCTTTCTGGGTGGAGTTTGCATGTTCTCTCCGTGCTGCGTGGGTTTTCTCCAGGTACTCCGGTTTCCTCCCACAGACCAAAAACATGCATGTTAGACTGGTTGGTGACTCTAAATTGTCCCGAGGTGAGAGAGAGAGAATGCTTGTTTGTCTCGTTTGTCTCTGTGTGTCCCTGTGATGGACTGGAGACCTGTCCAGGGTGTCCCCGCCCCACACACAGTGATTGCTGGACATGGGCACCGGTGACCCCCGTGACCCAAAATGGAAGAAGCGGGTAAAGATAATGGATGGATGGATGGATGGTTGGATGGTTGGATGGATGTTACTGTAAGACTAAGAAAATCTTATCTTCAAAAATCTGCATTGGTTAGATTTTGTGGAACTTTTAGGCAATTTAAAAATAGTTTCTCAGCTCAGGCTTTGGAGGTCTGGGGTCTCAGATGTTTGTGGTTTTGTTTGTTTCAGGAGCGGAGGAAGGAATTTGAGGCCAACCTTGAAAAGTCAGGTCTGGAGCTGGAGACAGAAGACAAGGCGGTGAGAGAAGCAGCCACAGCGTGCTGCTGCCATCTGGTGGTTTGATGATGAGGTACATCATTTCCTGCAGAACCTTGACTTCAAAGGTTTTTTTACATCATATTTTTAATCAGGACTCCAAAGACCAAAAAACATATTTCTTGAAGATCCATGCTCCGTGGGATGTCCTCGCCACCTACGCCGACGTCTTGAAGATCAAAGTTCCCTTCAAAGAGAGCGACTTCCCTCACGGTCGAGAGGCCCCGCTCAACTGGATCTCACATCCTTTCCGCCTGCCGGACCACATCATGAACCCACAGCCAGATTATTTCACCTACCACTTCGAAAAAAACAAGGTGGACTTCTTCCTCATCCGCGACAAAGAGACTTTCTTTCCACCATCAACAAGAAACAGAATCGTAAGAATCTAATGAACAACACGCAGCTGTGAGTCAAAATGAAAAAATCAAATTAAAACGTATCAAATGTGTTCTTGTTCTGAGGTGTTCTACATCCTGGCTCGTTGTCCGTACTACAGTGAAGGTCGGCAAGACAGAGAGAAGACGGGAATCAAGCGATTACTCAGCAACGGGACGTACACGGCTGCCTTCCCTCTCCACGATGTACGTCAGTCGGTCAGAATGAGAAGTTTTGCTTCCACGTTTCAGTTCAGTTTCTTTATGTTGTGCCAGATCACAACAGAAGTCGTTTCACGGCACCGGACATTTCATAGAAACATAGATACATACAAAGTCAGTTAATAACACTATTTATCTAAGGAGCCAACAGACTGCTTTGAGTTTTCACCTCATCACAGTCTCCCATCCTGAGCGAGCACAAAGGCAACAGTGGAAAGGAAAAACTCCCTTTTAACAGGAAGAAACCTCCAGCAGAACCAGGCTCAGGACGAGCGGCTGGGGTTGAGAGGACAGGAAGTAGAAACACATTCACAATGGCAGGTCCAAGATGGAGGGTCATCAGGTTTTCTCTAAAAGGAAAGACAAAATGACAGAAATCACATGTTAAAGGTTATAGGATAAGAAATAGGTCAGGAAACCAAGTCAATCCTAACTATAGGAAGATTTATCAAAAAGGAAAGTCTTAAACTGGACAATGTGTCAGCCTCACGGACAGAGATTGGAAGTTGGTTCCACAAGAGAGGAGCCTGAGAACTGAAAGATCTTCCTCCCATTCTGTTTTTGGAAACTCTAAGAACCACAAGTAAACCTGCAGTTTGAGAGTGAAGTGCTCTGTTAGCAAAATATGGAACAATAAGATCTGTAATATAAGATGGAGCTAGGTTGTTGAGAGCTTTGTAGGTTAGAAGTCAGATTTTGAATTCTATTCTGGATTTGACAGGGAGCCAATGGAGAGAAGCTAAAACTGGAGAGATATGATCTCTCCCAGTAACTCCAGTTAAGACTCTGGCAGCAGCATTTTGGATCAACTGAAGATGTTTTAAAGAAGTATTTGGACACCCAGATAATAAACCATTGCAATAGTCCAGTCTAGACGTGACAAATGCATGGACCAGTTTTTCTGCATCATCTTTAGATCAGATGTTTCTAATGTTAGTGATATTACGCAGGTGGAAGAAGGAGGTTCTAGTAACGTTTTTAATGTGGGGGATAAAAGACATGTCCTGATCAAAAATAACACCAAGATTTTTAACATTAGAGCTGGAGGACAGATTAATGCATCTAAGGAGGGAGAAAGACTGAAATGTTTGTGCCCTGTTCTTAACTCCAGGGGGAGAATGTTCTCCTGATTTTGTCTGATGCAGGATTGTGGCTCTCCAACAGTCCTGCATCTTGTTTGTTGAAGTTCATGTTGCATGGGAGCATATGTTGTTCTTGAACCTGTAGGTAATGTTCTGCATTTATGGTGCCTTCCTAGATGTGTTAGTTGCCCATGCAATAGGCACTAATGCACCCTCATACCATCAGAGAAGCTGGATTTGTACAGTGTACTGATAACAGGCAGATGCTCTGTTTCCTCTTTTCTTTCCAAAGACTGGTTGTTACTGTATTCTTGCTACACATTATTGGTTAAAGTTAATGTGCTATGTCTCAGTGTTCATGTTTCCTGTTTTCAGTGTCGATACTGGAAAAAATCGAGAAATGCAGAGTGTGAAAGTGAGCGCTTCAACCTGTACAACCATTGGGCGAGGTTTCTCTGCTTTTATAAACAGCAGCCTCTGAACCTCATCCGGTAATCTACCATCTTTATGTAATGGTTTCTGGTTTCCACACAACACGTTTTTACTTTCCTCTCTCTTGTATTTGTTTCCTGCAGGAAGTATTATGGAGAAAAGATTGGGATCTACTTCGCCTGGCTGGGCTTCTACACGGAGATGCTTTTCTTTGCAGCTCTCATGGGTCTTATATGTTTTACGTATGGAGTGCTGAGCTACGATGACAACATTTCAAGGTTAGCAGCACCAGGGATGTGAGAAAACTACAAGTTCCTTTTATAACAGTGCAGTGAGCGCTTAAGAGTTGTGTCACGGTGCGTCGCCAAAATTAAAATGCACAGCCTGGAAAAAGAAGATCAGCAGTAAAAAAACTGACCTCTTCCAAACTCTAAGATCCTGGATTGTTTTCTGCTGTTTTAGTCGGCAGCATTGAGACATCTATTAAAATGTCAGCTGTGTGCCAATTTTAAATCTAACATCAATTTACTTTACAAGTACTTGTCAAAATGTTTCAGCATGTCTTTGTTGTTCAATTAAAAGAGGTGGTCAGGTGCCGCATGGCCAACGGTTGGATTTAAAGCTGCTCTAAAGAGGGTTCCTATAGTTTAAATAATAAAATGAGTTTCAGTTGATTCAATTCAGTTTATTTCTGTAGCTTCAACATCCATCGTCTCAGGACACTGAACAGAAACATTCACACACATCATCAACGACAATCAATAAAGTTCTGTATCTGAGGAAACAGCAGATTGTTTGAATCTTCTCTTCATCACAGTCCCTCATCCTGAACAAGAACAGAGGAGACAGTGGAAAGAAAAACTCCCTTTAACAGGAAGAAGCCTCCAGCAGAACCAGGATCAGGACGAGCGACCATCTGCTTTGACCGGCTGGTTGAGAGGACAGGAAGGAGAGACAGACACAAAAGGACAGGTCCATGGGGTTTCTATGGTCCAGGTGTATTTTCTATGGTCCAGGTGTAGTTTCTATAGTCCAGGTGTGGTTTATATGGTCCACGTGTACTTTATATAGTCCACGTGTACTTTATATAGTCCAGGTGTACTTTCAATGGTCCAGGTGTGGTTTATATGGTCCAGGTGTACTTTCTATAGCCCAGGTGTACTTTCTATAGTCCAGGTATACTTTCAATGGTACAGGTGTACTTTCTATAGTTC